CAACGAATAGTGGGATTGACCGTCACATGATAACGCCCCCACGGCTGTAAGGGCGAGCATGTTTGATGATCTGGGGATTCGAACCCGCGACCCTCAGATAACGAGTAGAGTACCCTAACCACCTGGCCATGCCGGGCTGGTTTCGCACCTTAACCCTAAACATTTTTCAAACAATTTATACCAGAAATTGTTTGTGGGTCCATTATTGTGTTTGATGCAGGATCCCATACAAATAATGAATCACATAAAATTGTCATAAAAATACCTTTAAATTTGCAGTTAATTCCACTATTTTGATTAATATTAAAATATGTATTTTTAAATGTTTGAAAAGTTTGATGCACTTTTTCTTTAAAACATTCCAAGATAAATTACCAATAAGTGTTATATCTTAGATTACTATACATGCAAAAAGTCATTCTCTATAGTAATTTGCATATCTTCTACAGTGATCAAAGAAAAGGATACTTAAATTTTTTACTATGGTATGTCTACAATACGTTTACGCCTTTATATGAATTATGCGTATGTTAAATAGTGATTAGTTCTGTTTACAGAAGCGAATGGCACTATAAAAATCTATCTACATCGATCTCAATTGTTAGGCAATCTCGAATTTTCTCATACAGTTTCCAATAAATTATTAAATATATCATCGTTAAAGTGGAAAAATATTCAAATGATCAAGTAAAAAACGTGAATAAAGGTTTTCTTTTATATTATTTTGAAAGCTAATATTTTGAAACTATCTTGCGTTCTAGTTAAATCTAACAATGTATCTTCAATCTAATGCAGTTGTGACTTGGATACAATTTTGTTATTTCTAAACTTAGATTTTATCATTATAAAAGGGATTCTGTTTATTTTCGAAGCAGTGAAAAATATCATCTTAGATGTTTAGAAGATTAAGATTGGTTACCTAATAGTATAAAGGGTGCTATAACACAGAAATCGAAGCAGTAATATTACATTATGAAATGAGAGTAAAAAAAATAAAACTTCCAGCTCCAAACGATTATTTCAACAATAACCATGAACAAGAAAAAGAAAAAAAAGATTATAAACAAAATGATTTTGTGAATTTTGTTTTGTTTTAGTTCCTCGGTGTAATTATTATATGGCCTACTAATTAAATATTTTCTTAATTTTCATTCTCTCATACTACGTTATACATTTCTCGCCAGCTCAAATGTCAACGACTAGGGATAACATTATTCGTATTTAAGTGATTTTCACAAAATTCCATCTTGAAATAATAATAATACTGCCTTTGTTAGTTATTGAATTATTAGAAAGTTTGGTTGAAATATTATGTTCATTGGAATCGTAATTGATTTCTGGAACACGTTAAAACAGATTTTTATCACATGAAATTACAAAAGCACGGATTTTATCACTAAGCATGTGTATTTTACTAAATCTAAGAGACGAGTGACAGTTTATTTGTTTGTTTTAAGTTAAGCACAAAGCTACACAATGGGCTATCTGTGCTCTGCCCACTCCGGGTATCGAAACCCGGTTTCTAGCGTTGTAAATCCGTAGACATACCGCTGTGCTACTGGGGGATTATAAAAAAAAGAATTTTGTTTTTGTAAATTTCGCTTCACTGGATTTACTAAGAACTTTTGGGTATTTAATTCGAGAACTAATTTAGTTAATGTCAAAACACATTAAGATATTCTTTTTCTTAGTGACATCTCTTTAGCTCATTGATTACATAAATTATGGATGCTGTCATTACTGCACATTAAAAGGTACACGTGCATCATTATTATAAAAACGTGCACGATATTATAATTTATGTATACCTTACTAATTAATATATTTTTTAAGAGTACGCGTTTATAACTCAACATATTATTCATGCTTTCTTTTACCGAACATTCTTTTTAGACATGTCATTAGGACGATTAAACCACTTATTAAGCATTTATCACTGAAGTATATTGATATTTTGTTAGGCCCGGTATGGCCAGGTGGTTAGGGCGCTCGACTCGCAATCTGAAGGTCGCGGGTTCATAAACCCCGTCATACCAAACATGCTCGTTCTTTCAGCCGTAGGGGCGTTATAATGTCACAGTCATTCCCACTATTCGTTGGTAAAAGAGTAGCCTAAGAGTTGGTGGTGGGTGGTGATGACTAGCTGCTAAATGAGGGACGGTTAGCGCAGATAACCCTCGTGTAGCTTTGCGCGAAATCCATAACAAACAAACTATGATATTTTGTTCACGAATTCTAATGAAGGGAAATTATACAAACAGTACTAAGCAACTAATGTGCAGTGTGATCACTGCTTTGCCTCTGAACTCTAACGTGATAATAAGATATATCTACACGAGAATAGCCCAATATTTACATTTTGCTTTATAGTACGGTATTTTAATTTTTAATGAAATCTGTATCGGAGGCTATAGTAACAGCTAATATTGATATCATCGGTGTAAAGTTTATCATATGTTCTGAGAATTTATCATTGTAAATGTATTTGTTGTGATTTTAAACCTAAATAGTTACGTTTACTGCGAATATATTTTTTTGTATTATGTAATGTCAAAACTGTAACAGCGTAGATGGCCTAGTTCAATATATCCGTAATAATAACATCAGCGTAACCAGTTTCTTATAGGGAAGCACACAACATGTAAAATTCTATTACTTTTTACAAATTAAAATATGCGATAATAAGGAACGTACCTCAAATTAACCGCTTGTATGTTACTGATAAAATTCACAGTTAGAAATATAGTTGTATTAATGTAAAATGCCTCGAAATGTGATTAATACAATGTTTATTTGATCTGAAAAATATAAATATCAAACTATACACACTTTTACATTTATACTCTAGTAATGACAGTTCCTCTTAACATAAGCTAATTTCTTGGTTTATAGTTTAACAAAATATGCTTCTTACACACCATTTCCCAAAGTTTATTGTATCATTTATTTATATAATCATAACAATTTATTAAATTTCATAATTATACTTGAATACATCAAATACGATACAATTCTAATCTAATACTCATTCTGGAACTAGGGTAATAAGAGTTTTTATACTGCAACCTTAAAGCCCATAGGACAATTAATAAAGATAATGAACTTAAACTTTACTTATATATTTTTTCTTAATAAAGGCCCAGCAATTAAAGTAGATGGAATCGTGGGTCAAGAAGTTGCTTTGCCTTGTAATATTACGGCTCCTACGTTCGACGATGATGTAGCATTAGTGTTGTGGTACAAAGATGAGTCATCGACACCTATATACAGTCTAGATGCGAGGAGAGGGGTACTTGGACATGGCAGACACTCGTCAAGTGATAACTACGCTACAAGGACTTACTTCAGTACAGTTTCGAAACCAGCCACTTTGCAATTAACTTCGGTTACAAAAGAAGATGAGGGAAGATATACCTGTCGGGTAGACTTTAGGAAAGCTCGAACAAGATATTCTGAAATTATGTTGAAAATTATAGGTATGTGTCATCCACATCTATACAGCTTGAAATACATATGAACTCATTTATATTTTATCAGTTAGTAGTGTTGTACCTAGAGATTTATTTACTTCTTAATGGAGCTAATGTATTTCTTATTCATTCCAGCGACATGAGTGCATGAGTGATAGGCAATAGGTAAATTGTATACAACGGAACTATCTAAATTAAACTATAACTACGTAGAAAAGCATTAAACGAGCTTAGAAGAGCAAATTCTTAATATGTATATATATGTATATTTATATATTAGTTGTTGTTGTTATTTTTGCGCAAAGCTACACAAAATTCTGTCCATCGAAATAAATCAAACCCTGGATTTTAGTGTTTAATTCCGTAAACTTGCAACTGACCAACCGGTAGGGAGGACATATGTATATTAGTAATAGCTGTAAAATATACGTCTGAAATAATAAAAAACAGGTAATGAATTTTGTTTTTCAAAGAAAATCTAATTTTACTTTACATTATGTAGAACTACAAGGAGATTACTTAACGTTGCTTGGCATGGCCTGGTGGTTAGGGCACTCAACTCCCAATCTATGTCTCGCGGGATAGAAACGCGTTTCCGAATATACTTGCTCTTTTGGCCAAGCGATCGTTATAATGTTATAGTTAATCCCACTATTCGTTAGTAAAAAGTAGCCTAAGAGTTGCCTGCGGGTGGTTTTGGCTAGCTGCTTCCTTTCTAGTTTATCACTTACAAATTAGGAATGGCTAGTGCAAGATAGCTCTCGAGAAGCTTTGAGCAAACATTCAACAAGCAATTACTTAAAGCTTCAACCGTATAATAAAACACTGAACTATCTTTAGATTGTAAATATAGTTTTACCATAATTGGGTAAAAGCCTACCATTAAAGTACTTATTTACTGGCATTAGCCATTCAAAACCTTAGGCGAAGAATTTAGTAATTAGTTTTCTAAATTTACTTTAATGAAACGCTCATATTTTGCAAGGCTCGTTTAACTGTTGCTCATTTACCATGCTTTGAAGTGGTCCATTATTAACTTCTGCACGTATTAACATTGGTTAAATGGCATTACATAGCTCTAACGTCTTTCAATTCTAAAATTAAAAATGTTAGTACGATAACAGTCAGTTTTTTTCTTGTAATGATGTTTTTTCAGATAATTAAAAGCGTCTGCGATTGAAATTACGTGACTTGCTGGAATTAAAATTGGGTTTAAATTTTGTTTATTTTCTTCTAAGTAGGACTTCCATGCACAAACGTATCTATAGCTAAAAGGGAAACAAAATTGGTTAATTAAAAAATGCAGTTTTAAAGAATTCATAAAAGGCTCAGATGAAACTTTAGTGTCTTCAGGAAAGAAAATAAGAATAGAGATTACTGACAAGTTGAGAACTTTTGCTAATTCAGTTTGTCATTAGTGATTTACTTCCAAAGAAATATTTAAAGACTGTGAACAATTTAGAAACGTTGAAACATTTTAACTTTGCTTGTTCTGAAAAGTGTGTTTTCTTTCCATTTAAGACTTTCAAAGAATTGTATAAAATCATGAAGTGTGAGTATTGATTCAATTAATAATCCTTTCAAATCGTATCAGAATTTAAGTGTAATTCCTAGTAGTTCATATGGCTTCACTGTAGTAAAATACCACAAGTGCATGACAATTTAAATCAAACAAAAACAAGGTTGGAGTAGGCTACGTAATTTCTTGCTAAATAAGGGTTACACATTTATCAAAGTTAAAATTTAATCGAGACATTTCGGGATACATTATGAACACGAATACGTATGCAGGAGGACGAAGCTAGTACTTTACCTTTTCCTTCTGAGTGAATAACGTTTGTTGTCTGTAAGCCTTTTTCAACATCAATTTTTTTTATGGTAGCCTAGCTTCGTCACAATGATATGTTTTAGGGATTGTAGGGCTCTCTTTCGTAACCATAAACTACATACAGTTGGACCAAGTCGTTGCTCTAGATTTGCTAAGGTTATGGTTTCAGACTCTCTGACTGTGAGAAATCTCCTTGCGATATTTCTTTCTGTTTCTATTACGAAAATTAAAGGACTTTTTCTTATTCCTAATCTGCACTACAATCTTTAAAATCTCCAATTTCTTAGCATTCCAGTGTTCACACTAAAAAATATCAGTCAGAAGTATTATACTGTCAAGCGATAACAAAATATACGTATGAACAAGAAATACACAATTCCGCGAATTAGTCCACTTATGTTTACAAGTTCGCAGTGAAGTTCAAAAAATGACATTGAGAGTATCATTAAAATTTACATATATATGTGACTTCAAGCAGCAGTAATATTTAAAATTTCCAACCGGTAATACATCACAAGTATTTGAATTAAATAATCTAATATTTGTAAAGCTAGATTTAAAACACAACAACAAAAACTGCTCGCCGTTTTAATTGTTTCTTAAACAGTATACTTATGGTCTTAAGTTGATTAGAAATGATAAAAGCAGATTTATCTTAAGATTTTCCTGATTCTTGATTATTTTTATACCTGCTTTTCTTATAAAATATAATTTCAGTGTACTTAACACATTAAGAACTCTTTTTATTTTTTAAATGAAAATGTTTTAGAGGTACAATACTGTTTTTTAGAACAGATTGTGTTAAAAATACCCGTGAGCCATTATTTATTGTTGATACAATAATATATATCAAATAACGCTTTCATGTGATCAGAGTGGTATATCCGTTAAGTTTATATGAAATACAGAAAAAACAAACTAAATTAGGGCTATAAAATTTTATATCTGAGTTCACAATCATAAAGAGGCGGTGATGTATGTCTCAATGTAATAGCTCGTTGAGTAGTTTAATTAAAGAAAAATAAAAACTTTCAGGGGGTGGGTGATGATTTTTTGAACGACACTTTACCCTTAATTGTCTGTAGACCTACTGGAAGTGAAAATATTTTGTTCCAGTTTCTGGCCTAATTAGCAATTGCATTAAACCATCAACATCTAGCATCTCAAACACAAAATGTCTCACGAAGTTAGTCTTCAGATAAAATTTCTAGTAACTATGCAGAATATACTTCAAACATAAAAATAAAGTTGCTAAATTACTATATTCACTTGAGACTTAAGAAACGAATTTAATAACTGGACTATAACCTAAACAGTCAACTCGTAGTACTGTCATTGAAACGATGCAAGGCTGGTTCATAACAAAATATAAGGAGCAGGAGTTCTATGACGAATATTAAAGGCTTTCTTCTTCGAAATGCTGTGCCCAATAGTCCTACAGCCTTTAGCACTTTCGCTATACGAATGGGCTTTTTCAACCATAACTATAACCGTGGCAGAGTTATGGTAGGTAGAAAGGTGGGAGATCGCCATGAACCAAATATTGATGTTAAACATGCATCTCATGGCCCACGACTCATATCTACAGCAACATACCAAGGTATTGAAATGGAGAAATAATAATTTTAGTCCTCTGTATTTAAACCCAAAACTACGAAAGTATTATTCTAGTTTTTCAAATCTTGTAGAACAAAGCTCAATTTATATATATAAGCATGTGAGAGGCATAAATTTACAAATGTTATCTGACATTAGTTGAAGCCTGGTGGGACTAAATTCGATTTTAAATATTTTTTGTCCTGATATCAAACGAGATAATATTATCTCGATTAATTACATGGTATTAATTATGAATTAGACCTTTCTAGATTTCTTCAAGCCAGTGACTGTGAATTGAAGAATACTTTCATAGATCACTATTATGCCTAATAAGGAGCCATAGCTAATTATTTATATATATATATATATATATAGAAAGTGTACAATTACATTTCTATACTTTAATAATGCGCATTCTTATTATAGTGAATATGACTATATTAAATAATCCTCAAGAGCTCAACTATAATTGGTTCAGTTAAAGTAGTCGGGTTTAGACGTACTTAAAAAATCAAAGATAATATTTAGAACTCAAATTAGGAGCATTATATTATTTTCTGAATATCTCTCATGACCAAATATTATATTTATAGCAGTATAATTACTTATCCCAATGCTTAATGCAAGTTGTAGCTTTATCGGCATGTATGTTCAACAAACTCCTCATCCAGATCTTAAGATGGCAGGACCACACTTGGCAGGCGGACTAGGGGTGGTTCAGGGGGTGCTCTTATGTATATGACGTAAACTCCCTACGGAAGAGGGCTAAAGTAAACCCAAAAGGTCCCCAGGCATGATGAAGTTTAAGAGTAGGCAGACGTGCTCAGGTACCACAGGTGGGTGTTCTTACAGACTTTTATTTAAGGGGAGGGAGCACGGATATCATAGAAGTAATTGGGGATAAATGATGAGCCTTTTAGGTACATTGAAGTCTCTGTGAATCATAAGGGGGCCTTCGAACCCTGCAGCGAAGCGCGGGTATCTTACGCTAGCTTAGCAGTACACGTAATCCTCATAGACTAATTTAAGATAACTTAATCACACGATAATTGACTTTGTTACTTTGTATACGCACCTGAAGAGTTAAAACAGAGCAGAAATTTCATGATGGGTATTATGTCATGTGATGTACATTGAAGTCAATAAACATATATGTTAAAACATATATTAACTAATATTAACGCGACCGCTACTAAATATTAACAAACCAAAAGAAAAAAAAACATCTCTTGAACCACGTCCAAATAGAGAAAAAAAAATCCAAATGCTTACAATTTGCTTATCTTCTACTCTGTAGCGCTGGGAAGAAAGTAAGGCAGCAATTAAAGAAATTGGAAAGATATTAGGATTTCATTGCAAAATTACTTGATGAGTGGTCGTTCTAAGCGTACCCTTGCATACGTTCCACGGAATACTATCTAAGCTAAAGTTGAAATATTTACCAATCGCTATGTAAACTTTGTTTTAAATACTTGTCCTAGTCACATGACACAAGAACGACTTCGAGGAAATATTTAAAGATGCAAGATAATCGTATTTACGTTTCACTTGAAGCTTGCTCAGACTATATTGTGATTCTTCCTGCTGAATATATTATACATAACTGAACAACAATAATAGAAATGAAAATGTCTATATTAAATAATGCGCAGTAAAGTGATTTATTGTTTAAATATAATCAATACTTGAAAATGTTTAGAAATATTCTTCAGCAGTTTGGAAGAAATGTATTTTCCACGACCAGTGAATGTAAGGGTCAATATCGCAGAATCTATTGAGTTTCTGTATATGTACATTTATATTAAACTCCTTCATAAGACAATTATGCTTAATGATAAGTTAGCTGAATTTTACAGTTATAATCTGAAATATACTTGGGTTAACGAAAGCTAATCATATAGATATGTTTTACGCAGCAATGAGAGTATCTTACCTAATTTTTCTCATAGAGGCATCTTAGCTACAATTACAAATACTCACCCTAAACTTTAGTCTTCATACTTTGAAAGTTTGTAAAGAGTGTTTGCCAAACTTACTCTTCTGAAGCCCCCAGTG